GAGGTCTCAGAAGAGTTCAAGGTTATTTACCATTACACTTCATGGGACTCCCTCCAGCAGATCATTTGCACGGGGATTTTTCCAGGGGCCACTTCATGCAAGGGTCATGCGTATATGACCCGCCATGCGCCTTGGGAAATCGAAGGCAAGGATCCTGGCGTCAGGACGAACAGACCGCTGTGCATCGCGATCGACACCGATTGTGCTCTGCACTATGGTCTTCGCCTGGTGGAAACCTTGGCCGGTGCACTCATCACTGAGGACTGGGTGCCCAATCATTGCCTCATCTACGCATTCGATTGCGAGAAGTCGCAATACCTTTGGGCGAACCATGGCTACAACGGGGTGAAGAGTACCTTCGGCAGAAGGCCTCCGAGAACGCTCTCACTTGGCAAGAGAACGAGGCTCGGAAGGGCACTCCCAACTACGACGAACTTGAAAGGTACGATATTTCGGACCTGGAGGTGTTGAAGAACATGTTCGTGAATGAGTACGATCAGTGGAAGGATGTCATCACTCTGCGACGTCCGCTCATTTACAAGGAAGTTCCGACACCATATCCTGTCGTCGATGAGTTGCTCCCGAAGATCAAGCAAAGGCCGCTCAACTTCACTAATCTCCTTTGTGTGGCACGCAAGCCGACGGCAACTGCTGCTGGCTTCGACATCGCCCCTGACAACGCGCGGGAACGCCGTTCTGATCGCTTCGATCAGGAGGCATTTGACCCATCCGCGGAGGGGAACCTCACGCGCTGGCGGTATGTTTCAATGTTGGCAATGCCAGAATTGACATGCCCCCGGTGCAGGAAGATCTTTCCTGAGGGGATGTTGGTGTGCCTTGCATGCGGCTTGTCGCTGGCGACAATGTCCGACATGCGCCGTGCGTGTCAGGTGTTCCGCTTGGAAGAGTTGGCTGAGAAGCTTGGCTTCGAGCTGACGTTGGATCTTCTGGGCGACGACGATGTAGCAGGCACCACCCAAGGTGCCAAGCAGATCAGATCTGCTGCTGCAGTCCTCAAAAATCACGCCCGCTCATACATGAAGCAGGCGAGAAAAGCTGGACTGACTTTGCTACAGCGTCTGGGAACGGACGCCCACTACGCCTTTAATTGTGCGGTCCAAGACCTTACACCTCGGTGTATGCATTGGATTACCGTCTTGGGCAATGTGGTGCTTCCCTCCATCAAGCGCACGCGAGAGGAGATCCGAACTGGAAAGATTCGGCAGTACAAAGCGCGTATGTGCATGGTCGCATACGAGGAGGAACAGATGAAGACGATCATTGTGGATGATCATGTCCTCATCTGGTACAAGAACCGCTTTTACAGAGCCAACCAGTTCGCGGCCGCCTATGCCTTGATCCCGGTGGCCGAGCGTTTTGAGGTCCTGAGCGTCGCCAACACGACGTTCCAATCCCTTGCGCTGTCCAAGCAGGATGTGTATGCCGACATTCTCAGCTATGTCGACGACATCTTGCGCCCCCTCACGGAGGCAAAGGACACGGAAGGCGGAAGCCGACCCCTACCTGCAACAAGGCAGCAGAACCCAGATGTTACCAGGTCCTCGCGTCCTGGCTATGGTTCTCATCAGGGGCCCACTCATGGCTACAGTCAGCAGGAATGGAATGACTACTACAATCAGTGGACTGACCAGGAGTGGGAAGATTGGCGCCGTCGAAATCAAGGCCACCAATACCGGGATCGACGTTGGTCGGGCTATCGCTGAGGCACCGCGGAGGGGAACCTCTCGCCTGGTGGATTCATCTTCATCTGAGGCGGGGTATTTTCCTTTCAAAGAACGGTGTCGCACAGCGGAAGCTGTTGCCTTTTCGGATTTAATTCGGTTAGGCGACTAGCTTCATTTTTGCACAGGTGGGTGAGCGATTCCACCATCATTTCCAACACAAGTGTGCTAAGTCGGAATTTTTGCCAATCTATTCAAGTTCACAAAAGTTTCATTAACGCTTTGAATGCATATAATTTGAAGCAGGCATTTGGCACTTGGCACTCATTTTATTCTTGCCATGATTCCTTCTTGCATAGCACACGGCTGGTAGTTGCATGTACCGCAGAGCGGAAGCTCTTGCCTTGCGAAGTTAAGGCAGCTTTGAAGCATTTCTAAAGGCTTCCCTGCGGGTTCACACAACATTGAATTCAGCTTTTGCCATAATTCAGATTGCTTTGCTTTGGCAAGCTCCTGGGCGACCACAAGAACTTTTGTTGCCGCGTGGAAACGCTGGCCTAGTATTGGGCCAAGACCTTTTCTTTCCACCTTGCATGTTCGACCACAAGCCCAGTCGAGCCTAAAATAAAGCTGAATACATTCGCCCGAATTGATGTTCATCGCATCCGTTTGTCGAAGTACTTGACGTCAGATGGAACGGTTTGCCATGTCTTGTTTTGCACTTGAAGCCTTGCTCACTTTGCGTACTCTGAGGTGATGACTGAAAGCACTACGAAAGGTCAGGCCACTCTCGGTGGGGTTCTTTGGTTGTTGTTGTTTATTTCATTAACGGCATCCCTTAACTCCATAAACTAATAGGTCTTAATTTGCAGCTTCACCCCTATGTATAGGAATTCCACTGCACGGGGGGTGTTGTTGCAGAGTAGTGCACCATGTACATAGTCATTTCACCTCTATATATATACGTGTACGCGTGGCTCAAGAAATGCTGCGCAGGGTGTAGCTGTTATTCGTGGTTGTTTGCGGTTTCTAACCCGTTTCTACAAATATTATATAATTTATATATATATACTTGGTGTTGTTTAGCTGTTGCTTGGTAGCTCTTGGTGGTTCATGTCATGACAATCTTAGGTTTCGGTGGACTGGGCAAAAAACAAAGGAGCCATTTGTGGTTGCATTCTTGGATTCCAGAATGACCCAATGGTTCTAGAATGCCCCAGTGATCATTTTTTACATATTGAATAGCGTTTCATGTCCAAAACCGTTACTGTCATTTTTAATTGTTACATCCATGATTTTACATCCATGAGTTTTGGTTGTTTCCATTAATTTGGAATTATTTTTGCTATCTTCTCAACAAAATTCACATGAAAGACAAAAAACCCATAGATCTGTTATACATATTGGTAATTCATTGGATGATTGTAGAACCCAAACACTCACAACAGCCATTAAACGTGAAATTTCAATAAATACTTCCATGGATCTGTGCCATACATTTCGTGAAGTGGGTCACTGCTGCAGCAACAATTCATTTTCACCGCGTGGAAGTAAGAGGTCTGTGTCTGCAAGGCTTATTGTACAGTGGCGACCAGCAGGCTACGGACGAGGCACACCCGATCTACTTCAGTTCACGGAGGGTCGCTTGCCACATCTGCAGCAAGAGCGGCTTGTCCTTAGACGAGCCACTTGTCGTTGCAGAATCCGGCCCTCCGCCGCTGCCATCACGTCCCGGCCCCGGACCTTGGTCCCTGCGCTTCATGTCAGGGTCGGAACGGATGGGCGGAGGTGCCTTCTGCTTCTTGGTCTTTGGATCGAAATCCTCATCGGACGGACCTGTGGAATTTTTCGCCCACAAGGTCTTACTCCACTGGTGTCCCTCCGTCAGACAGTCTTTCCATGCCCGCGCTTCTTGGTTCTGCCAATACACCCAGCTTGCTAGGTGATATGCAGAGCACCGGTGCTGGAATGACCCAGCTTCACCGCCTCCCACCGTTCGGCCGCAAATGCGGCAGTCGTACTTGCCGTGCTTCCGGTCGTCTTTTTCCGGAGAACTGTCAACCACGGTTGCGGTCCTTGGACCATTCACCGGTTCAGGAGGACGTTGGGATCTTAGGGCAGGAGTTTCAGTTCGACTGGGATCAAGGTCATGGTCAGACTTGTCCTTGGACTTGCGAGGCTTTCGTCGACCGTCCTCACCTGGAGCTTCTCCTTCTGCTCCACTGGCCTTCGCAGCCTCAGCTGCAGGTGCTGCAAAAGCACGGTCACCAGGTTCTGTGGCCGTGGCCGGGGCAGGAACCGGAGGGTCAGGAACCTCCTGGTCTTCCTCTCCCGTCTCCTCTTCTTCTGACTCCTCGTCTTCGTCCGCCTCAGCCTCAGCCACAGCTGCTGCAGGTGGTTTGTCATCCGCAGCTCTCTCAGCAGCCGAGGCGGCGGCGAGCAGTCGGACTGTGACTGGTTGATTGTCGTTGCCACGAGAGCGGGAGCGGCGTCTGCGTCTGGTGGACTCATCTCATCTGCTTCTCTGCGACGACGCCGGTCACGAGGTTCGTCACAGTCTCGCCTGCGGTCACGGCTGCGACCACGCTCGCGGGTATCCTTGGCTTTCTTCTTCTTGTCGCTCGTATTGGTCGCCATGGCCTGGCCCGGGTGTGCATGTGGGTGTGAATGGTTTTAAATTTAATTATTATTTATTATAGTAATAACATATATTTATTATTAAGTGTGGCTGGACTCCGGATTTGTCTTGGTATGGACCGACATTCACGAGAATAGAGACTCAGTCAATGTGTCAATGAGTCCGTAGACTTAGACCCTGTCAGTTTCATGAGTCCGTAGACTGCATTGAGTCCGTAGACTCGAGTCCGTAGACTCACGTGCAAGAAGTCCGTAGACTTCATTATTAATGTCCGTAGACATCGGAGCAGGAGTCCGTAGACTCAGTCCATAGACTTGGGTCTGTAGACCTTAGACTTGTCCGTAGACAAAATAAAGTCAAGAACACGACGACCGACCACGCGACGACGACGACGACGATGACGAAGACGACAACGACGACGAGTCCCCGCCTGAACTGCAGCCGGAGTCAGACCAGAGTGAGTGGTGGACTGCCAGCTTCTGAGCCAGAGACAGCTGAAAAGATTGAACGTTCGAAATTTAACCACAATCCCACAAATATTACCCAGTCCAAATTTACTTTAATTAATCAGCAACCCTTTCACACAAGCCGGCGGCGATGCGTCTTTTTTCTTCTTCTCGTCATCTAGTCATCTGAGCTTGGTGGGAAGACTGTACCAGCCGTCTCCTATACAAACCCTTCTAACGCAGCTCTTTCAGTGTGGTTTGCCACATTTGCAGCAGCAAGTTGCTACCGGAGGACCCTGCTCCTGTGTCCGGGTCAGGGTCTTGGTGGTCTTTGTCACGGCGGGAACGTTCCGGGTCGCATCTCACTGGAACTGGAGACCTTTGCTTTTTCTTAGGCTTGTTGGGCAATGCGTCATCCTCCGGACCTGTTTGGTTCGTCGCCCAGAGGTGCCTGCTCCAGCGTTGCCCTTCCTGGAGACAATTCTTCCAAGGAAGGGTCTCTTTGTTGTTCCAGTAGACATAAGAAGCCAAATGGTGAGCTGACCGGCGATGTTGCCACGAGCCGGCAACTCCACCTCCGACCTTGCGGCCGCAGATGCTGCAGTCATACCGACGAATCTTGTCGTCGTTCCAGCCTTGGAGACGCTTGTCATCCCACCCAGCTTGCTGAGATTTGTGCTCCTCATCAGAATCAGGTTTGTGACCTTGGTCACGCTTCTCCGTCTCACCTTGGTGAGGCGGCTGGTCACCTTCGTCGCGACGCGCCACAGCCTCAGCCTGGGCTGGACCTGGACGGGCTGCCTTGGCAGCTTCCCTGGTCGGGGACTCTGGCGCGGCGCGCTTTGCAGGTGGCTTTACGGGTGGGTCCTCAGCAAGAACCGACTCTTCCTCACCTTCTTCGTCGTCGTGCGACGCCTCTTCTCTCGTCGTAGGAGCTGCAGCGTCCGCAGACGGAGCCGGAGCCGGAGCAGCTTCAGCTGGGACTAGGAGAGGCTTGCTGCCGTGAGACGTGTTGGTCTCCCTGCGCTGCCCTTTGTCTCGGCTACGGCGTTTCTTTTTTTCCCGTCTGTCACGGCTTCGATCTCGTTTCTCCTCGTCTTTTCGGCGACAACGGTCACGGCGGTCGCCACGACGAGAACGTTCAGTGGTCATCAGCCTGGCAGCAGTGGGGGAGGATGATTGGGTTTAATATATTCAATAACTGTGTACCGTACGTATCATATACACTTGATTTTTTTTGTCTAGGAAGATTTGTGATTATAATTTAGTTGGGTATGCAACTTTCACCCTCGCCTACTTGGTCTCAGCGGGCTCCTCCGAGCAGCGGGGTCGCAGCAACAGTGATACTCTCAGTTGACTTGAGCCAGAGCACCTGGGCAGCCAATAAAAATGAAATGTTTCAGTGTCACTCAGTGTCAACATCTGAGCGAGACTGCCGTGCCGAATCATGTGAGACACTTGCAAGCACAATTTGACAATGCTTCTTTTTTACACCCCTTCCTTGTTTGAGTTTCACTCAGTGGGTTTGCCGATTGTTCTCCAAAATTGGAGGGCAGCCGTTGGAAAAAAACAATTCTTATTATTTGTTTAGATATTTAGGTGTGTCTGACAACAACTGCTGCCATCCAAGGACCAAAACTTTCAGCGGCGACGAACTGAACTGACTTGACTACCTACCACGGAAGTGCGTCCGAACCGTCCTCAGCGTTGTCGTCGTCTCCTGCGTCAGGCGCCGTAGCTTTGTCGTCGTCTTTGGTCTGCTCTTCCTTGTTTTTCTTCCCCTTGGCCTTGGCCTTGGGGCGTTCTTCTTTGGAATTTTCGTTTTTGCGCTTGCTCCCCTTGGTGACCTGCTCTTGCTGCTTTCCTTGGGCCACGGTATCTGAGCGGTAGAAAGTGGAGCCCTCTGTCTGCATCAGAGTGACGACAAAGTTGGTCAGAATCATTTCCACCTGAGTGGAATGTGAGTCAGACAGCGTCAGCCCGAGGTAGCTGACACGCTCGGCCACACAGGCCTTTGCCAACTCTCCCTGAGAAGTGCTGAGGTCCAACCTGAAATGAAATGCGCGAGGAATTCTGATTCAGGATATCATGTGATATAATTCGGGATATTATTTTTAATCGTCAGGCGATTAACGTGAAACATTATTATTTACCCATACATGGGATGATCAATATTTTAGGGTTGATGTGGTTAGATTGCTTCCCAGGCACACAGCTTTCACAGAGTGGGCTTTGAGAAAACTTCTGTAGAAAGAGCAGGGCAACAAAGCTGCACTGAAGACGCTTTCGCTGGAGGCCTCCTTGGCTTTGTTCATAGCGGCGTCAGTCGGCGACACGCACCTGCCTGTGGTGAGCACCTCCTCCTTTTCTTTCCTGCAGGGACAAGGATTCATTATGTCATGCGCTTGGTTCATTATTCATTATTCATTGTGAGAAAAACTCTGCCGGGGTCCTTGTCAGATGCCAAAGGTCCGCTGCCTGCATGGCGGAAATGGTGCCAAAGACATCTCCAAAGTTGTGCCCTGAGAAGTCAGTGTATGGCTTCTCCGGGACCATGGTTGACACTGGAGCTCCGGAGAAGAGACAAGCGGTGGACCTGGAGGTGTAAGCTCCTCGAACCCTTTGCTTGCGGTCCCGAATGGAGGTGTCAGAAAAGATCAGGAGAATGTCTTTCATTTCCGCTTCGATGGCTTGATCCTTTCTGGCCGCAGCCGGTCGGAACAAGGCTTCTGCTTCTTTGCTGGAACGTTCCATGCCACAGTGCACGAAAACCAGTTCACCCTCTGACGGAACCATGCACTCGTCCCCTTTGCGCTGGCCGTTTCTTGCAATCATCGAACCATGCAACAAGATTCTGAGGGCGGACTGGTCGGGAACAAAGCGCTTTCGGAGAAGTGGTCTCTGACCTGGGCCCATGGATTCTCCCAGCGCGTCTAAGTCAAGATGAGTCAGAACGCAGCTGACACCTCCCTCTCCTTGGAAGTCTTTCAAACCACTTTGGCTCACCAAACTGATGATGCCGTCCAAGGTCTTAGGCTGCACATGGAGAGAGCAATAAGTGCGAACAGTTTGGTTGCCAACCGCCTTCCAATATTTCTCAGACCCTTCAGAGTGTTGGCTGGGCGGCTTTCGCACCTCTTGAAGCTCGTCCTCTGCATGGTCCGGGTCTGCAGCGTTTGCGGCTGCCCCTGCAGCCAAAGCTTTTACTTCAACTTCTTCGTCCTTCAAGGTGGCGAGGAACTGGTTCACCTGTTCTTTCACCTGTTCGTGCTCCAGAACTGCCTCTGGAGCTCCCCCGGACCTCGTGGCTTGTCGCAGGCCGTTGTCATACTTCTTGGTGTAAGTCAGGTCCTGCGATGATAGGTGCCAATTAAATTGCTATGTCATGTTTGAAATGATTAAAAAAAGCACAGGACCATTGCAAACAAAAGAACCTGTCCTCCAGCAAGTGAAAGCAGTCAATGCCGGACTTCTTAAGCCGCGCCATCCAGGTACAATCCCCGTCGCCTGAATGTTGCCGGTACACCTCATGGGCAGACAGCTTCTCCTTCAGCAAAGCCCTGTCACCCTCTGCCATACCGCTCTTCGGAAGCAGCACTTCGAAGAAGTGGTCCAAGACCTGGCAAAAAACATGGAAACATAATTACAATCGGGAAAATGCAAGAAAAAAAGCGCACCATATTCTGTGGACCCGGCCTTCTTTTTCATTTCAAAAAGACTTACGAGACCAGTGTATGGTGCTTGTCTCCGGAAAGACTGCCCTTGGAAATTTCTCCTATTTGCAAGACGTCGTAGGCCAGGCCATCATGCAAGCTCTCCAGCACCCAGTCTCGCATCTGATTTGTGCTTGGCTTGGTCGAAAGAACGTGAAGCCGACTCATCTGGTGGAAGGGAGAACGCGTCCCGTATAACTGTTCCAGCTCCAGCAAAAGTTCAACTGCCCGCGCTGAGCTGAGAATGCCCTTTTTGACGGCCAGAGCTTGCGTCACCAAGTTGACGGTGATTTTGCCATCGCTGTCATCCTCCTTGCGGCCGCCCTGCACGGACAGCAGGCCAAGTGTGTGAAGCTCCTGTACCAGCTGCGCCGGCTGCAATTTTGATTTACAGCTGGGCAAACTTTCGCACATAGTCTTGAACTGGTCAATTTCCACAGCAATCTGCATTGCTGTCCTGCTCATGGACTCATGCTCTTGCTTCACCGCTTGTCTCCGATTGAATGCCTCGACCCACACATTGTGGCCTTGCAAAGGGTCCTGTGTCTCCACAAAAGAAGCCGGCACGCTCAGCAACACAGCACGCCACTGTGCTTTCCATTCCTTCCATTGATCCTCGGAGAGCTCATCCTTGCGCCTTGATGGATCCGTGGAAGTTGTGCTTTTTATTGAATGTGATATGGTCTGGATGTGACAAACTAATTTTAAACAAGGTCTTTAAATTCAGACAAGGCACCGAACAGCGTGAGCGCAGGAAGCCACCAGCGAATGCACAATCTCTTCTGGCGACAGCATCTGAAGGTTCTGGGGTTTGGCGCTCAGAGCCGACTTGTCGGCCAGAAGCTCCACCATACGGCCTGTCATGAAAGCTGGTTTTCCGTTCGGGAAGTAAAACTCTCCCATGTCGAGAACTCTCCTCCGGCTCATCGGAATTCCCGGCGTGGGCGACGCCAGGATCTGAACCCAGAACAAGGAAATGCTGCAACGAAAAACTCTATGAATCCCAAGTGCATGCCGAGCCGACTCCAAGTCAAATGGCTCTTGAACCCCAGTCTTGGATCCGTCCAACTCAGACTTGGAGAGCGGCAAAGGCATTTCCTGGTCAATGCCTGGGAACTCCTGCAAAATTGTCTGGAGGTCCGCCTCTACCAGAGCATAGTAGCCAGCATTCGTTGGGTCTGGAGTCGCAGCTGCAGCCGTGGCTGACTCAGCTGCAGCCGTGGCTGACTGAGTTGCAGCCGACGACGAAGTCTTTTTGCTTGCCTTGGGACCCGTGGATCCAGGCTTGGCAGAAATCGCCGCAGCAGACTTCTTACGCTCTTCGCAGGCCACAGCCTTCTTGGTCTGAAGCTCCTTCTTCACCACCGCTTCTTCCTCTCCTTTCTTAACCCTTTCAGCGAGCTCGTTCATTTCAGCCTTATTCAAGCGCCATGCGGAAATGTTCCGAATCTCAGAGGCTGCTACGGTCATTGCAGTGGCCAGCAACTTGGACAGTGTCTGTCAAGCACTTCCTGTCAGTTCCTACAAAAACACTTTGGGCCGACAGTGGCAAACAATGGGCATGGCTGTCACAGAGGGAATCGAAATGCAGCAGGTGGGACAGGATATGATGTGCAACAGTGATGATAAAATCGTAAATGCCAAAGTTAATAATATGAACCATTATCCTATCATCAATTATATCATGAACACGAGTGAGTAAGGACACTGGGCGTGCTACCGCTAAACGTCGCGCTGCTTACCCGGGTCTGGCCTGGGCTGGGATCTTGGGTAAGACAAGTGGGCAACGCTCTGTTACGCTCCAACGGGCATGAGTAGAGGAACTGGGGAAATCCCAGTCTCCTTACCCGGGTCTGGCCTGGGCTGGGAGTGGGTAAGGATAGTGGTAAAACTTGCGTGCGTGATGGGGCGGCGATTGTCCCAGTATGCTTAACACATTCCCTACTATCCTTACCCGGGTCTGGCCTGGGCTGGGAGTGGGTAAGGGAACTGGGGAAATCCCAGTCTCCTTACTCGCCTCCGTTGATGCGGCCGCCAAAAAAAGCACTGACGAGGTTCATTTTAAACCTGGTCCCGCCCAGGCTGTTCCGTCGAACAAACGGTCACTCAGCGTTGCAGCGTCCGGACCATTGGCAACTAATCTCCAATGATCTTCCTGTGCACTGAATTGAACTAAGCGAGAGTGTGTCAAGCCTTTCATCAACACACTTGCCAGGACATTGATGCTCATTGCATCGCCAAGGCTTGCATCCACTGTGCGCGCAGGAAGCTTGTGTTCCTCAGCTGCCCTTTGCATGGCTCTGACAACCTTCTTTGGAACTCCTTGTAATGCACCAGCTTCCTCAAGCAGCAAGCGCCGCCTCAGTTTTGGGATATAATATCCTCCTTGTCCCAAGCGCGTGTGCGTCAAGCACGGTGCGCAGTTTGTCATCGCTGCTTGAAATTTTTCCGAAGATCCTACGTCGAGAACATATCCCTTACGCCACATCTTGCTACCTAAAAGTTCTTCGTACCTCGGTAGCTGCAACACCTCGGAGCCGGTCTTGTCCTTTTGGATGAAATGGTGTAAGTCAACCTTCTCTGACCGCTTCTCCGGTAACTTCACTGTTCCAGCGCAAATCTCCTTGGCCACCGCGAGGATGTAGACTCGGGGGCGCGATTGCGGTATGGCGAAGTCCTGGGTACTCAAGACTTGGTGGTCGAACACATAGTCGAGCTTGTTCAAAATTTTGAGAATGTAATTCCAAATTTGCGAATGCTTCTTCTCGAGTATGGCTTTGACTTGTTCCAACACGACCACCTTGGGTCTGCACAAAGCCACATATTCCAACCCTTTCAGGGTCAAAAGACCCCGCTGGTCAGAGACGCCTTGGCGTTTTCCTAACTTGGAGTACGACGGGCACGGATAGCCAGCGACGTAAACGTCGGCTGTTTTCATGCTTTCTTCTTTCCGTAGAAACATGTCAATGACCTGGTGGTCGTCGTAGTTCCAGCCACATTCTTGGGCGACAGCTTGGTGCAACAACACCTTCTGTCGGCTGACCTCTGACATCATGACGGGCTGCACTTGGCTTTGCAGCCCCAGAAGCCTGTATGCTATCAGGTCCAAGCCGTGGCCCGAACAGTCTGATGCAGTGTGAATCACTCTCTGTTTCTTTGAAGCCTTGTGCCTGCCCAATCGAGTGAGCCAGTTGGACGCCAAGGCGTTAACCCGCTCCAGTTGCGAGCGTAGCACCTCCTTGCTCACTACGACAACTTTCTTCTGAAGTGTCCGTTTTGGACCATGGCTCTTGAGAGGAGGCGCTTTGCCGGAAGACGGGCTCGACTTGCCTTTTGTCATTTTCTGTTTGAATTGAAAACTCTGCGGAAAAAGAAATGCAATGCAACAGCGCGAGGGATTACTGACTACTAACTGCTCTACTCATGAATAATGAAACTGTCAGCCATGGCTTAAAATCGACGATCGACAAAGTCTGTTTTGTCTGTCAATGAAATAAACCGACGGGAGAACACAGTCAAGCCAATCATTGAATCTGGAAATTCAATCTTCGTCAACAACTCAGTCAGAGCTGCAGCTTCAGTTTTCACTCCACGCTTTTCAGTGGTCTCTGTCGACACTGTTCCAAAACTCGTAGGCCTCATTTTGTCAGAGGCGAGACTGACTAATCTACGGCCTACGTCATCAACCTTCACTGCAAAACCGACACGTCCGTAGACGCGGTAATTAGCCCAAGAAGTCATTAAGCCGTAGCCGTAGCTTATTTTATTTTTCCTCGTGAGCTTCAACCGAAACTTCCTGCGAATCCGTTTCTGGCTTGGGCAGCAAAACGCTTTCAAACACCGCAGGTGCATGCGCGTGGGCTGCCTCTGCCACTCGCCAGGATTCATCAAGAGTAAAAGGTTCCTCCACCGCAGCCTTAGCTGCAGAGGCCGGACTTGTGTTAGCCCCCTCGGTTCCTGAATCGCCCGCAGGCTTCTTTCCTTGTGACCCCTCAGTGATGTCAGGCTGAAGCACCGGCTGGGGTATGTCTTGCGCGAGGCCACGGGCCAATCTGTTCATGAAGTCGAAGGAGCGATCCGTGATTCTCCTGAGCCCATTTTGAATTCGATCGACCTCCTGCTGCTCCAGGCCAAGTTCCTGGATAAATGTAGGGTTGTCTTGTAGTCGGTCAGTGAGGTCGTCGAACAACACGACCGCCTCCCTACTTTCACAGGCAAGGAAACACGCCTCTTGGTATGTTTGCACCCTATCCATGGCCGAGTTGTTCTGCGGTCTGTTGTGTACCGGGCTGAGAAGCAAAAGCTGCAGACGTGGATTGTTACAGCGGCAGGTAGATCAGGCAGGAAAGATGGCGGGAATCGTCCACAAATTGAGCGATTAAATCTATGTCCTCCATGCGGTGTTATACAGTATCACCTATTATTATTATTATACCAACCCGGGTGTCATGCCCACATGGATCCAATGAAAAATATGATATCAGAGCCAGAAGAGAAAATCTATAGTATAGGCAAGATGGTGGCTGTGATGTAAAATGATTTCCGGAAAACTGTCCCCATGAAAAAAGGGATAGGTTTCCGATAATACCCTTTTTATTGTCTTATATAGTCCTCATGTCTGTCGTGTATGCTGTCAACATTGACGATCTCTGACAGGCAACTGTGACTGATTGACATGTTTGTTTCCATGTGTTTTGCGCCTTGGCCGACCACAATGGAACTCCCAAAGAATTTACTTCGTACCTAGTATTAAAACCGAAAACAAACATCCTCTTGGAATTTTTGATACGGGCATTCATTTAATGCATGGCCTCTGCTTCTCGGGTTTGCAATTTAGACCGACACTGCTCTGCATGCGTGCTTTCCACACATGTCGTTTTTTCCCGCAAGCATCCCCTGTTGCAGGATCGTTCTCAAGCAGCTGCTATCTTCACACGGGAGCTTGCCGTCTTGTTGAGACAAGTTGCCGTGAGCCAACGCAAAAATTCGGTGACAGTAAAACACTTCACCCTGGTTTTGTTGAAACCAGCTGGGATGGCCTCCCCCGCACCCCTGAGATGGAGACTGGGCTTTCGCCCGCGGCCTTTCAAATCTTCCGCCCTCACTGCCTGCCACCCACGGGCACATGCCTCACGTAGCAGTAGAGTCATTCCTGGCTCTTCGGCCTTGAAAGTGTCAGTCACGAAGATTGCAACTTGTATCTCCTGACCCGGGTGAAACGTCAACTTCACACCTCCTGCTCCAAGCAAAGCAGAAGCTGACATCAAGACGGATCCACTCAGAGCAGCCATGAAACGCACTTTTCTTTGCACCCTAACGAAGTTTGAGACCACGAAGAGCTTGGCTTGCCGCAGGTCCTGGACATGGGTAGTAAGATGCAGATGCTTGGCAGGAACAAAACAAAAACAAACGTGCAAATCAATGGCAGGCAATTCACCAACAAAGGATTCCCCCAGGCTCCTGAGTTCTCGTCGCAACCCCATGTGCCGTCAAAGATTGAGACACTGCTTGCGCCTTGCCGCCTTCCATCTTGGAGCAACACCACGCTGGGCCACTGAGACCTTGGCAGGCCCACTGATGCCTTTTCTTCGTGGAGGTCAATTTACCGGACACTTCGTATGCCTGTCTTTTTTTTTCCTGAGACCATCTCCTTGTCGGTTTGCTTTGGTCAGTCGCAAGGCCTCTTCCTGAACCTCTTGGGTGACCTCATCCGGCAACAAACAGCCATCTGCCAGAGCCTCAGCCTTTCGTTTCAAACCCTGTTTTCTCTGGAAATTTCTTTCCTTCTGGGAAGATTCTGTCAACAGCTCGGAAGGTTTCCGAGGAGGTGTTTCGCATTTTTGCACTGCTTCCAGCAATGCTTTCTTTCTTGTGCGGTTCCAGTTGGCAAAAGATCCGGTCTTCACTTTGCCTGTGACACCACAATCGAACCTTGGTTTTGTCCGCGGCCGGGACCTTCCACTGGACAGTAGGGAAGCGTAGATTCGTCGAGCGGCTTGAATCACTTCAGGTTGCACTGCTGGGCTCCTGGCCTGCCCATCGCCCATGACAATTGCAAGGCGACGGTCTGTGTCCACAGAAGCGTTGGAAAGTTCCACAGGACTTCTCTTGAGCTTCGAGAATTGTTGCTCCACTCCACTTGTGGCTGCGGTCCAACATTGATAAGCTGCCATGACTTGTATCAGGGCCGTGGCCTCATACTTCCTTCCCTGGGCACCTTTCCGACTGCTTGTCCGTTGAAGGGCTTCCCTCCATGCTTCTCTGTTACTCAAACCTGCTTGCTTCTTCAAAGCTGCAGCAATGGGCAGCAAGCGGGCATACTCTTGCTTCAGTGCCTCAAAAGGTACCGAATACACTTGAGCCAGCCTCTCCAAGTTCCGTAAAACATCCGCACTGCAGTCACGGCCTCTTACGCAGTCAGACAAATGAAAAACTTGAAATGCCGCCGCCAAGTGCCAACTCGGAAACTCATGCGCGACGACTTCCTCCACGAGAGACACCCATTCCTGCAGCCGGCTGCAACGACGACAAGATATGATACAGTCAAATTTAATGGCAAACTGACACAGCCCCCCCCCATGGAAAAGCTAGGCTAAGCACCGGGGTCCTCCATGACTGCAAAAGCCCTGTCCAAGTCTCGGTTCGAAACTTGGATGTCCAACGCAAACCCATCCTGAAGAATGGTCACGGGAATTCTTCTATCTAAGAATTCTTTCGTGAAAGTGGGTAGTGTCAACACCTTCCGGTCAACGAAGAGAGACCTTGCCGAGAGGACAAAATGGCTGGCTCGTAAATTCAAATCAGCAACATCAATGTCTTCACGGTCGCATTCCCTTGTGTAGTCGTTGCTGATAGCTGCAGCGTCGGTAATCATTGCAAGCAAAGCTGCTTTGAACGAACTGAAATTTTGGCAAAGCTTGGTTGCCCAAGTTGCCTCAGCACCTCGCATGGCTTGGACCCTGCCGCACACATTGAAAGCTGCTTGCAAATTCCGAATTATCCGGCTGAGAGGATTCAAGTATGACGAGAACCTGTGCTTCGCCGCAGACATGGAGGTGCAAAGGTTTCCAGTCAAGTCGGAGTCCTCTTTGCATTGGACGGCCTTGGCCCACCATTGGCTGAGGATGTGGCTGTGGTGCACCTTCTGAGCGAAGCTTTCGGACCCATGGATCCATTCGTTTGTCAAACTTTTGACAGGTTCCAATGCAAGGAATGGTCTCTTCAAGAGACGGGTCGATGCATGCGCCGCATCTCTGCCGACGATCTTGCAATTTGTAAATTTGGATTGAAAGTCGGTCGCGGCCCTACGGCGCCCTCTCTCTAAGTCACCTGCTAAAAGTTCGGATGCAGCAGCGTCACTGGCCACCATGGTGACCCTGTCCTGAATCTTCCGTAGAAGTTCAGAGTCGACCGGCTGCTCGCTTTCCTTGGCTTGTCTGGGAGGCTGCCGCATCGGTTGGCAGAAGTTCTGCATGATTTCAGCAGTTGCTTCAGCTATGGACTCAGCAGAACCTGTCACAGGCTGCAAGCCAAGCGCGCCACTGATGGTGGTTAGGTCCGGTAGAACAGCGCGGAAGCGCACAAGAAGATTTCCTTTGCGTTCGTCTCTCATCAATGAGATGCAGCGAGACTCTGCCAGCAAAGTCCTGTTGCGAGCACAAACTGCTTCCGAGAGGGCATACCGCACTTGAGTTTTTTTATCGGACGATCCGCCACCTTGTCTCGCAGATTGTCCTTGCGTCATACCCTGCAAACTTGACTTAAAAGCCTCGTCGCTAGGGGCTCCGCAAAGATCATCTTGGCTTGCTGTCATGTGTCCCTTGGACTTCTCATGCCTCTCCAAGTTGTGTTTCTTCAACACGGAAGTCGGAGTTTGTTCAAAGTTGGCCCATGGGCCCTCCAGACCGGCTTTCGCGCATAAGCTGCAGCCGAGCTTGGATTCTCCATCGACCAGAAGCACTCTCAGCCATGGTTTTTTGTAAAGTGACCATGACTGCTGCACGGCGCACAAGCTGCACTTGTGCACTCCTCGCTTGCAAGTCTGAGTGTTTTCAGTGACCAACTTACCTGGAACCAAGTGCTTCAACTTGTCGCGAGAATCTCCCATGGCGCGAAGAAGGAAACCCCTGGAGAGCGAAGAACTTATTGTATTCATTGTATTGATAGAATCTCATGATAGTCATAGTACTTTAAGGCTTACTTAAGATGCATTCAATGTGATTGACAGTATTGGAGCTTTGAATTGAAAGATGCGGAAATCTTCAAATTTTTGATCATACCTTAGATGTTTTAAGGTGCGTGTTTCAAAACCCTGCAGCCGCTGACGGCAACACACAGAAAGAGTCACAATTCAATGCAATGCTTTCGCCCCTCGAAATGAAGAAATCAAGCAACTACGACAGTAGTGGCTGGCAGTAGTGGCTGGCGGCGCGACATCGACTCTTCTTATTTTCTGAATAATAATAAGTCAAGCAGCACCCGCGGCAGCAGCAATTGCTCAGATGATGTGAGCTGACTTGACACACACATGTCCGTAGACAGTGACATTTAAAATTGTCCGCAGACACTCCCCACGGCATGTGTCCGTAGAGTCCGTAGACTAAGATATTTTCCTGTCCGTAGACCAGAACCAATGATGTGTCCGTAGACCAAGTCAGTCCGTAGACTATGATTTTCCTGTCCTTAGACCAGAACCAATGATGTGTCCGTAGACCCGCAAGTCAGTCCGTAGACTATGACTTTCCTCTCCATTTAAGACGAAGTGCAGATCTGTTACTTTGTTCGTGGACAATCATAAAGATTCATTCAATGCGGTCCGTGGACTCGAGGATCAAAAAATGATCAGACCTAGTCCGCAGACAACTCCGTATTTAAGATGTCCTTCAATATTATTCCTCGCGGGTGAAAGACAAAACAGCATTTCCATGGCAAGGTAAACAGACTGCAGATGCGATGGCAAAACGATTTTGAGCAAAAAATAACTCTGCTAGGGCGCTCGGCTGTGGAAGTTGACCAAGGGCTTACAATAACAATTTTACAAGTGGATTTATCACGACTAAGCTCACATATAATTTACACACCATTAACAAAAATATATATATATATATCATGGAACTTGAAACTTATTATATACAACACCTGTATGGGGTATCCAACCTTACTATGTTTTCCCTTTGTAGGCATTCTATGGATATCAACTGGAACGCTGGGCAACACTGTTCCCCTGATCACTTACATTGAAATAATGACGAGGTGGATGCTTTGAGACAACCATAGGAACAAGAGGACCCATGCCAACCAGATCTGTTCACGCATGGAGTGAATGACTCAGTGGTCAGGTGGAATGTTTTATTATAGATAACCAAAACCAAAATAAAACTGGTCACACTGTCAAAGAGCTTAATACCTTGGCATTAGTGGTGGTGGAATAGTTTCAGTGACAGACTGGATGCATACTTGAACACATCACACACACTTCACTTAGCAACAAAAAAGACACCAAGAGCAACCAAGCTACTGCTAAACAACGCTAAGTTAAAGAAATGGGTGGCTCCGCCGCGGCGGAGAGAATAAGGCCTGAAATCAACTGAGCTAAAGCTTAAGGCGGTCAAGGTGTCATTAAAAGTTTTTCTCCACTGGTAACTGGAGATAGTCAGCTTGGAATGATTGGGCGCTTGAGACTTCCACTGAAAGAGTCTCCTACAGACATCTTCTATATGAATGGTGACTGACTCAGCAGCACCTTGTCTTTTGCCTGCTTTGGTGAGGCCCAATGAAATGACTGCAGGTCCCTTAGGTTGGCTGACGGAGACCTGAGACAGGTTGACCGAAAGGATTTCTCCAGTCCGGAGTAGCCCAAAGAATCCCAAGAGCAAAGACAGAGCGAAAAGCAGCCTTTGCTTAAATAGGTTGTATCCCACCATTGCCTCCACATGCTCTAATGGTAACGGTGGAGCACGGTTGGGAACTTCATGAACTACCCAAGCTTTCATAAGCCTCCAGCTTTGCAGGAGTTTTCCTTTTAGTTGCGGTTGACAGTCTTGGAGTGCGGCAAGGACGTTCGAGCCAGAAGAACGCCCCTCACCCTCTGCCCACAATTGCTCAAGATAATCAGAGACCAGCAAATCCAATTGAGCAGCGGTGGGGGGCAGTTCTCTGTTGATGCTTTTCAGAAATTTGATTTTTTTTTCCAAAGACTGGTCATATCTAGCCCTAGTGGTTGGCTGAACCGTGAGCTGTTTCAAGGTACCCAACTTCTTGCGCATTGTGGCCCTAGCTTCTGGAGTGGCTGCCTCAAAGTGCCGTTTAGGCATGGCTCCACTTACGTTTTCGCGGTCGGCGGCTGGGGCCGTCCGCGGGGTTCTCTTTAGTATGAACGTAAGCCCAAAGGACTTGCGTTCGACTTGCCAGAAGCAGGGCATTAGTGCGCAATAGGGTACGTTTCAGCTTTCGGCTACTACTACGGCCGCGACTCAGCGCGTGCAAAACAACTTGAGAGTCTACCAGGTGCACAAATTTGGTGTGTAAAGATTTTCGGCGTTCAATTCTCCATCGAAGAGACGTCAGCACCGCTCTCATCTCTAACACATTTATGTGTTCCTTTGACCCTTTCCATCTCCAACTGGCCGCAATACGCCATTTCCACAATTTGGCTGGGATGCTGGCCCGCAGCCGATGATATTTGACCTGGTCCTCTGTGGATGCCTGTAGCATAAGATCTTCACCTTTGACACTGACCAACGTCAGAAGCTTGTGGATCAACTTTACTGCACATCCATGATTCACAGGAGCTCTGTTCTGCTCCATCAACGGTCGTTGCAGATAGGTTTGGAAATCCCTACTGCACCCTGGAGATGTTCTTGCTACGACATCTTGCACTGCCAAAGGGTCGTTCAGTCCTAGCAACGTGCCTAGCTGGGAAAGGATCCAAGCCACCACTGTCACATTCCAAGAGTTGCCTACCAGGCTAAGCCGAGCATCCACATGCTCCTGAGTCCCTTGCTTGGCCTTGGGCAAGCAGTTAACAGTGTAATTCCGCGGAAACCCCATGATGACCTCCCGTTCTTCAATGGAAGGTACCCGTAGGTCACCATCCATGTTAACAAGGCAAAAGCAACTTCTGTACTGGTACGGGAGCAGAAACTTTCGATCTTCAAGCTGTGCCGTGAGAGCGATCTGTTTACGCCACCCCACATTGTCTTCAATAATTGCTCCCTCTGCCTCCCTCAACTCCCAATCACACCAATACAACCGAGGTCTTCTGGCAAGAGAAACGCCTTGGGCGTCAATTTGCCATGGGTTACAGCCAAAGTCGTTTGACATCACCTGTTCATCTTGCCAGTCCATAGAGGCAACTGACTCCATGATACTGCGGACTTGGGCCCATGGAAAGCAGGATTTAACTAGGTCACGTATCCTACTGACATGTACAAAGAGGTTGCTTCGTGCATCACGTAAGGCCCCTTTGCGGTCAGCGTTAAGACCACTGACCCCTTGACACGGGGGGCCTGATCCCATCAAAACCAGTCCTACTTGAGAGAACTTACGTGCCCAGTCCTGGACTGTTTCCAGGGTAACTTCACGAACATCCTTAATTAACACCGTGTTAGGAAACCGCGACTCCACAACCCTTTGGGCCTGTGGGGAAATTTCCACGCTAATGTGCCCCTGAACGTGCCAACCCAGTACGTCAGTAGCTACTCGTAGCGCGCCTATACCATCGAAAAGACCGATGGTCAAGACACTGATGAGATCAACTGGTTCCACTAGGTCTCCTCGAACAGGACAGTGACTAGCCGCACACCCAGCAAGGCTCGGTCCGGTGCTGACTGTCACACCCCCACCAAACTCTGAGGCATCACTCGCAGTGACCTGAGCTGATACCTGAGTACGAAAGTCCATATAGGCCAGAGGCACCAATCCCAGGAAGCGCGCGATTTCAGTCTTGACCTCCTCCGGGATCTTCAGCTTGATGAAGGGGGGATAACCATCAAAGCTAGTAATAAACCTCCATAGGCAGTTGAGGCATCCTAGCACTGGTCGCCGAAACATGGAAAAATACACCAGGCCACCACCGACAACCTGGACCTGTTTTTGTGTGCACATGTCTTGTTCCAAAAGCAGCTTCCCCAATTGCATGTACTTCAGAACTTTCTCCGGCTTGGGGTACGCGACACCTGCCACGCCATCAATGATGGCCCCCTGCACCTCTGCTTTACGTTGGGATGCGACACCCTCCTTGGGATGCCTTGGCACACCCAACCTTAAATACTCTTCCCGCAATCCAGCAATCAACGGTGAGACTTTGCCTTCAACAGCATCGGCCAGTGGTTTGGAAACTCGGCGCAACTCATCAAAATTGTCTAAGTAGACTCGAAACAGGGGGTTACAAGCAGGGAAGGGTCTGTCCTTTCTCAGCTCCCCCTCTCCCCCCATGGGAATACCTCGCAGGGCTTGCTTCAAGATAAAGCGATGGACTTGTTGCGCCAAGGCAACTGAATTCTTAAAACCCATGGGCAGTACAGCACTGCATGGGAACCAAGAGCCCTCTTTTGGCCCACATAGCCGGGGTGGTAATGGTCGATTGAACGCCATGTACTTATGCCAGCTACATGGTATTTTGAAGATGTAAAAGAAGCACCGGACGTCTTCACTAGAAATAATTAAGTCTTCGTCCGGCATCAGGCTGAGTGGGGTCATCCCCGCCCAGGAGGGCAGGGTGCCCACATCGCCTTTAATACTTTTACACACTTGGTTAACCGGGACCAAATTCATTATAATCCTCATTGACTCCCAGGCCCCATCGAACTCTCCTTTAGAGACGCCAAAGAGACCATTCAGCAGGAGTTTATTGTCGACACGATGAATTTCATCCTCGTGGACCCGTGCGAAAACTCCTCTACTCAGCAACTCATCGCAAAACGTCTCCCACTGATTGGGAGGCACTAACACCCGAGGGGGTCGAGTATATTGTTGTGCTTCGGTCGGGAGCAAGTAGCTTTCAAAATCAGCTACATAATGACGGGAGCCTAGTTCAACCACATCTTCTAAGCGAACTCCTCCCACTTCACTCGGGAGTGCTCCTCGCACGTTTTCCCACTGCATCGA